GGCTCATATAATCTAATCTGTTATTTTTCTGTCTAAAGATTGAAAGCATTGAGCTTCCCATGGACACCAAAACAAACGAGAGGAGGGGATTCTGCTTTGTGACGTACGTTTTAGAGGATCCAGTTCAGAAACTGCTGGAGAACAGATACCATCAAATTGGATCAGGGAAGGTATGTTGATATTATCAAAATATCTTGCAGATCATTTGACACACACACACACCAGTACCTCATTCAGTATAAATAAAACGGGTCATAGTAAGAATGCGATCCACTTAAGTATTGTCTTTTACACATTTATTTTATATTTACACTACCAATCAAATATTTGGGATCAATGTTTTTTTTAAAAGTTTTATTCATCAAGGATGCATCAAACTGATCAAACGTCACAGTAAAGACATTTATAATGTTATAAGATTTCTGTCCTTTTATTAAAGAATCATTAAATACAAATGTATCATGGTTTACACAGAAATCAGCAGCACAACTGTTTTCAATATTGATACTCAGAAATGTTTCTTGATCATCATATTAGACTGATTTCTGAAGGATCATGTGACACTGAAGACTCAGCTTTGATCACAGGAATAAATTACATCAGTTTTGACAACATTATTATAAACCGCTGTGTATTTTCTCTGAAATTATTATAAAGGGTGTTTTATCAGAGGAATATCTGCTATTTCAACTAAACATCTATTGCTGTGAGGTAAAAGATTTAATAGTTCAAATGCAGTAAAGAAATAGTTAAGAGCATGTTTTCCACTACTTTTTTTCATTAATTGAACACAAAAAAACAATGTGTAATCATCTTTATGCTTCAGTATAATAAATGAGTAATAAATAGCTGTGTTCAGCTTCATATTGCTAAACATTTTAACATACCTTGGTGAACATGTTATGATAGTTTGAATTGATGAGAGATTATGGGATTAAATTGATTTGACCAACTCTAATGTTGTTTTTCTGTCAGGGATGTAATAAAAAGCACATTTAAAAAATGCTGATTAATTTGATTCTGTCCACTTCTGTTGCCGTGAAGAACTCAGCACATGGTAGTAATGCTGTTTCCATTTGTTGCCAGTGTGAAGTGAAGGTTGCCCAGCCTAAAGAAGTGTACAGACAGCAGCAGAACCGAGCGGACCGGGGCTTTGGAGGAGGACGGGGAGGAGGAGGAGGAGGAGGACGAGGAGGCGGCCGAGGAAGAGGTATGCCAATCTAGAGATGGCTCTCTCTTTGGCCAGCTGCTACTTCTAGCTCTTCTTGACCTAAAGGGTTCTCTAACTCTTTCTGAACAGGACAGGGCCAAGGCTATAATCAAGGATACAACAGCTACTATGGCCAGAACTATGGAGGCTACGGCAATGGATACAACCAGGGCTATAATGGCTATTCTGGCTATGACTATTCAGGATACAACTATCCAAATTATGGCTATGGACAAGGCTATGATGAGTACAATGGTAATTTTGCACACATTTAACCCTCAGAGAGCCACGCATTGATATTTATGATGTATTTTATTTTTCACCCATGTCTTTAGGAAGCTGTTAATTATTAAAACAATTTAGTTTAGGCAAAAGTTGCATCAAGGTGTAGGTTGGGAAAACTCACAACACAATTCAGCTCACGGGTTTTTGAAAAATTATATATTTCAACCAGTAAGGATATAGTCATGAAGTCAGATATTTCACAATGTGGCCATTTAAATACAGTAAATATCAATAAAGCATGTTTTAAATATTATTAAAACATGACAGTGAAGGCAAGACACCTCAGATTAATAGGGTAAAAAAAATAACTAATAGATTTCACCATACTTCCCCAGTTGATTGATTGGATTAAGAATTGCCAACATTTTTTTTGTATTACAAGTTTTCTGAAATGTTATATTGTAATTTCCAGAACAGAAATCTGAAAACTGGATTAAGCCAGGTTTAAAGTTTGTTTCATTTTAGATTTAAAGGTTTTTACAGAGGGGATTTTGGATTTGTCTTTTTATTTCTCCATAAATACTGTCAACATCCAGAAATAAAATATTGTTGTTTTTAGAATTGAAATGTTTAAAATCAGTCTAATTGAATAGGATCAAACCCCTCCGTAAAAATCTTCAGAATATCTAGGAATACAACGGGAAAGTTTGGTGTTTGTCAGAGCTGCTGAAGTGGAGATTTATGACTCAGTGCAGGAGAAAAAACGGCCTTTAAAGATATGTATTGTAATTCAAATCTGCAGACTCAAATAGGTGCAATAAAAGCAACACTTAAAAGTGAATTTGGGATGTTTTCTTTCCACTAGTTTGAAACCACACTTTTATGAAAAGCCAAATAGTTCAAAATTGACCGATGCATGACAAAAACTGTTTTTGCCTGTAGTGTCTCGCCTTAATTTAAAAAAGTATATCTATATTTTTTATGTCAATAAAAATTATGAAACAGCTAATTTGGAATAGTTTTTGTACCATTCATTGAATAGGCTCCATTGTGTAAGATCAATTGAAAATAGTTTGATCTCTAATTTATGTACAGAATTCCAGGGCATGCAAGACTTTTCCCATCACTAGACAAACAGATCTAAAATGAAGGAAAAAAATTAGGGTATACAGATTTTTTGCATATCCAGATGAGTTTTTGAAAATTTGAAAATGAATTTTGATCCGATTTGAAAAAAATCACAAATGGAGGTGGTTTGAAATGCGATTCCACTCATATTTTACAGATGCGTCTCAGTCTGGACGCTCCGGCTGCTCAAATCGGGTTTCAAACCGTCTCTTAATGCGCGCAACACACACAACGATAGCGTCAAAACTGGTGACTGACATGCCGGAAGTAATCATACGGGGTTCAAGTGGTGCGTTCAAAGATGGAGGAGTTATTTGGAGAGCGAGATGATGCACTTCCATTTGTCCTGCACTGGTTTTTAAAAGCCTCGTCACATACATGGGTGCGCCTACGCCATTACCAAAGCAGCCATGATGTCTGGACACGCATCATATTTGATCACTTGCAATAAACAGTCAGAGGAAAGATTGAGCATAGCTTTAGATGTAATGGGTTGAGTCAGATGGCCGGGGCCTTTTTGTCTCGAGCTTTGGCAGTTCATGCTCATTTTTGTCCCAACAAAACGGCTGTTGTGATTAATTTTGTGTTTAGTTTATAGTGACTCGATTGAATTGTGCTACAGCATCTGTATTGGATTTCTGTAGGTCAAACGAGCAGTTACGGCAAGGCCTCGCGGGAGGGCGGAAACCATCAGAACAGCTACCAGCCGTATTGATGAAGTGGCTAAACGCATTCATATCAATGGTAAGGTCACACATCTTCGCCACGCTCTGGACCCGACCTCAATGTTAAAGATCAATAGACAATAACTAACAGCCTAAAGGCGGCCTATGCATATCAATGCAGCTGAGTTAAATCCATGTCTATAGATCTTTAATCGCTAATGTTTGTGTAGCCATTTTGCCTTTGTAGCGTGCCAGAAAAACGTAAGAGTTTTTCTGTAGGTTTTCCTTTTCCTCCTCCTGCTTTAACAGGTGATCATAAAGGAATAACATAGAGACTTGATAGCAATGCTAACAGGTAAAGTACAGCTAAAGGGGTACAGAGTAAAGGCGCCTCTCCTGATTTTTCCTTTCTTTCCCTAATTCTGATTATTGTACCTTGTTTGTACCTGCCAGCGGGGACTTCATTGCAGGCCGTGTGTCACCTGACCACGACATTCTCTGGGCGTCGCACATAGCGGGCAGAGAGCACGGCATGCACAAGAAAGCGCTGTCCTGTGGTATGGTCTCTTCAAACTTCCTGTACCAGCGTAAAACAAACAAAAAGACAAAGGAGATTCCCCCATTTTCCTTAAGTTGTTGGTTTTCGTTAACAGTTCAAAGTGTGTTTTTTCCAGGACTTTATTAACGTAACCTAAAAGTGATTCATAATAACTGCTTTGATGTATTCTCTTTTTCAATTGTAGTGCTCTTGTATTTCAGTTGTGGAGCTTCAGTGATTTATTTTCTTTGGTTTCTTCCTTAAAACGGTCACACCTCCCTTGTAAATAATTGCATAAACTCTCTCATAATGCTTGCTTTTTCTTTAGAGGCCATAGAGAACTTCAAATGGGTTCACCTCAAGGCTTTTCCTTAAACGTAGCCTTTAAAGATCATATGTAAAGTGGGTTTACGAAGCCATTAAAAGCTGACAAATCTGTGTTAGACAGACTCACACATTGGCTAAATGCAAATGACATTGCGATTTTCAGGTTAAGACGTTTGGGCTCGCTCCTCGAATGGTCGACCGGCCTCTTGGAGCTGAAGCTTTTGCTGGCTTATGAGCTGTTTTGTCGATCTAAGACGTCGAACATATGATCTTTAATCTTTAATGATGATTTTCCTAGTTTAAAATCGACAGCTCAAGAAGTTAAACACTGAAACATGGACGTGCTGTTTTTTTTTTTGACGCGTCCAAATCCGAGTGGTTCATCTTGTGTATCTTCTTTTGTAGGTCGGCAGGCTGACTTGGACATTGCTCCTCGGAGGCAGCTTGTGGAATCCTGTCCGTAAACAACTATTAAATATGTTATCCGGTCCTCTGGGGACAAATTCAGTGTCTGACCTTGTAAATAGCGAGACGTTTTGTTTCCAAGTTTGTCTTATTCTGTGCTTTGTTCAGATCGAACCTGTAGGTTTTGTGCTGATGTGTTCTTAAGTCTTGATTAGGAAAAGTGTGCTTTATTTTGTATTTTAGTTCTTTTCCTGACGTTTTTTGGATAAAGGGATTAAAAAATGGGAAACAATTTTGTTGTGCTGTGTTTTCATTTTCTCTCTTGAGTTATACACTACCTGTAATACATACCTGCGTTATAACAGCAATTTTTTTTACTTTTCACATCGTTGGGGGTGTACAGACTAAATATGCATATCAGAGGTTTATAGTAAGCGGGATCTATAATTCCTTTAAAAAAAAAAAAAAAATGCTACCAATATGCGTAAGAGTCGCGAGTGACGTCATTACGTTCAACTTCCGTTTCGCCGCCATTTTGTGAATGGACGCCGTTGCCATCGACATCCCGAAAACAGACTAAAATAAACGCGATTCTGAGCCCAATTAACACGATTTACAGTCGCTTCGGTTAAGTTACAACCTTAGACGCATTCTTCAGAAGAACACGACGTGATTGCGCGCGGTTTCGCCGAGTATTGAACAAGGATGTCGGAGGAGCAGAATCTGGGCGAAGACTCGATGATGGTGATGAAGATGGAGGATGATGATGGAGAGGGTTTGGGCGAAGAGCAGATGCCGGGCGCTGATGAAGAGGGCGGGCAGGGAGAGGCGGAGGGCTCCAAGATAGATGCCAGCAAGAATGAGGAGGATGAGGGGTGAGTGAACGCCATGGAGAGAGACCGCAGTAACGTTAAATAAACCTAAATTTAGACATTTCCTTATACTAATAGATTCGTTCAGTCATTTTGGTAAATCGTTAAGAGTCTATTCGACTTTACGTAACGCGTTTCGTTCAAACAAGCACAAATTTCTCAGCTAATTTTCTGTGAATCAATATATTATTATTTTTCTTTTCTTGATAGGCCAAACTGTAACTTACATGACGTGAATGTACATCTGTCGGGCCGGGTGTAATTGTGAATATTCATTAGTCGCGTGCGCATATTCATGAGTTTGCAGCTGCTCGTTAGCTCTCCGAACTCATTTGCCTTTCAAATACACGTTCGTCAAAAGCGTCTTTTCAAAAGAGAAACTCAATAAACTTGGTCTATGTGTTCACAGTGTGCTGTTTTATCACGTTATATTGTATATTATTATTTCATAAATACATGACTACATGTCAAAGTAAGGCTTGAATCATAATCAAGTAGTAATTGACCTTGGTTTTTAGCTGATTTCTGTAACTCACCTTAATATCTTGAGCCACCGTATGTTCTCACGTCAGTGTTTTGTTTTCAGGAAAATGTTTGTGGGGGGCTTGAGTTGGGACACAACTAAGAAAGACCTGAAGGATTACTTCAGCAAATATGGAGAGGTGGTCGACTGCACCCTGAAACTGGATCCTTTGACAGGCCGGTCCCGAGGATTTGGCTTTGTTCTGTTTAAAGAAGCTGACAGTGTGGAAAAGGTATCTTTGCATATTAGTCGTGTGTGCAGTCATGTGCTTATTGTCATTACGCTATTAGTTGTGCAGCATAAGCTTCGTTTCAGTTATGCTGCTGAGGCAACCTTGATCAAATCAAAGTCTGATATCTGATCCTTGTCAAAGGTGATCACGCAAAAGGAGCACAAACTGAACGGAAAAGTGATTGATCCTAAGAAAGCAAAGGCCATGAAGTCCAAAGAGCCTGTGAAGAAGATATTTGTGGGAGGTCTTTCCCCAGATACTCCAGAAGAGAAGATCCGAGAGTACTTTGATGGCTATGGAGAGGTATGGAGAATTATTTAAATGTGTGTGTATATATATATATATATATATATATATATAGGCTATATATATGTATAAATAAACTATAATTTGCATTTCTTCTCTATATTTTCCCTAGGTGGATTCCATTGAGCTGCCAATGGAGAATAAAACAAATAAAAGACGAGGTTTTTGTTTCATTACATTTAAAGAGGAGGAACCAGTAAAGAAAATTATGGAGAAGAAGTACCACAACATCGGTTTAAGTAAGGTAAAGTCTTAAATGTCCTAATGTGCATGATTCGTCATTTGACATTACAGTAGCTATGTTTCCATCCACACGTTTTTATCCGCATTAAGTGATATCGAATGAAAAATGCCTTATGGAAACAGTAAAATTCGATTGAATTTCATGAATATCGACTCAAATGAAATGCGTTCGTTCTCATCGGATTTTATCTTGATCGATATACGGCTAATGCGCTAAACGCGGATGGAAACGTCATTATGGTGCGATCCATTTTGCCTAGGAAAACTTTGTTCGCAAATGTTGGCTTGAATGTTGTGCAATTCGGTGAGAAAATGAATGGAAACACCTTAACATGTCTCAAATCAATTCGATATACCAATTTGATCGCAAAACAGCATGTGACGTCATTACGCACAGGTTTTTATCCGCTTTAAAGCCGTTGGATGGAAACACACTTTCACCAGGTTTGTTCGCGTGAGGTTTTTTTACCGAACTTCAGATATTCGATTGACAAGTGGATGGAAACATGGCTTGTGTCTTTAAACATAAATATTACATGGCTTCGTTATTCTAAAACATAGTCTCCTTTAAATGTGTTTCCACATAGTTTTTGTATCATAGATATAACTTAATGAAAACAATGTGAAGAAATTATGTATAAATTTATTAAAATCTACAGTGCCCCACACATGATATGCAGGAAAAACAGATATTGTGGCCTGAAATTAAGAATTTTTGTTAAAACTAAATAATTCGTGCCCATGTTTTTTAAATTAATTATCAGCTTGCTCACTTGTTGTTAATTAAAGGGGTCATATGATGCTATTTTAAAAGTGCATTATTTAGTTTATTGGGTGTAATAGAATAGAATTAAACATGTTTTTCACGTACTGTACATCATCGCAGCACCTCTATTACCGGTCTGTCTGAATGCTCTGATTTCTACTAAGCTCCTCCTTCTGAAAAGCCCAGAGTGCTCTGATTGGCCAGCTGACCCAGTGCGTTTTGATTGGCCGAACACCTCAGGCGTGTGCCGGAAATGTAACGGCCCTTACCATAATCACAAGCTTTGGCTTCCAAGACTTCTGAAGCAGTTATAAACACAGTTAATAATGATAATTAGCAGATAATACTAATCAGTTCATATTCTGACTTGTTGGCGTCCTGTCCTTCAGCTGTCCTGCTGTACTTTAGTTTCTTTTTGTGGTGAAATGCTCTAGATGTCCTTTGTGAGACTGATCATGAGTGCAATGGCCCCTTCTGTTAGTGAGGTGTAATGTGACTGTGTGTGTGTGTGTGTGTGTGCAGTGTGAGATCAAGGTGGCCATGTCTAAGGAGCAGTACCAGCAGCAGCAGCAGTGGGGCGGAAGAGGAGGATACCCCTCCAGGTCCAGAGGGAGAGGAGGTGCGCTCGTCTATGATGACGGAAACTGACACACATGATCCCTTGATAACGCTCAGACTGTAGAACGGCCGTAATTCAGAGTGTAGGAATTGGTCGGATGTTAAAATGTAATGATAGAAAAATGAATTTACTACATTTAAAGAAATTCAACATGCCTTGAGAAACAACAAGACATAATTAAATTGGACTAATGATATGTTGGATAAAAGTTTTTATTAGATACACTAAACTAAGTACAATAGAGTGCAACGGTCTGGTTCTGGAAGTACTAAAAAAGCGTATAAAGCTTCAAACACAGCTCTACTGTGAGCTACGAGGTGGTGAATCAATGCTATTTGCTTCTGTTGAAGCCCTCGGTTCACATTATTTCAACTTATTTTTAGAATAATCATTTAACAGTGAAATTCTTGGTGAAAAACTACATTACCCATGATGCTGTACAGAAAACTACACCAATCAGAGTTGAAACTAGCAAAACAGAGTCATAAAGCCGTTTAGTTCACAGTCTTGTACCTAATTTAATGTAATTAAAGTTTGTAGTGTTGTGATTCTCCTGGTAGCTGATTGCTTGGTTCATGGCTTATAAAGCTTTAAAGAAAACCTTTTTTAAATCCTTATGGGAGAGATGAATGAAAAAAAAAAGAAAGTCTGATTGAAAATAAGTGTTCTTCCAATATGATCCACAAATAATGCATTAAATACCATGAAGAGCAGATGTGGCAACATTATCAATATTACTGGAAATCAATTCGTAACCATCTTGACCAAATTTCATTCCATTTTAATTTTATGTTCTTCTAATTCAAAATGTGAATTTCATGTTGTGGTTTGTTTAAACCCCAAATCCACATTCATCCTGAATTTCTTCTGTTATTACGCTCTTTATTAATTGTGCCATGCGTTTGGTTTCTGCCATAGGTCCCAATCAGAACTGGAACCAGGGATACGGAAACTACTGGAATCAAGGTTATGGAAATTACGGGAACTATGGCTACAACAATCAAGGCTATGGTGGATACGGGGGCTATGATTACACGGGTTACAACAACTACTACGGATATGGTGACTACAGCAGTATGTAATACTGTTTGTGAACGCACAGATGACAAAACTAAGGATATATTGTATCGTGGATTGTCGGTACTCGACCCGGACTATGACAATTGTGCACTAAATTATCTGAGCAGAACGCACATGCTTGTATGATACATGCCTTACGCTTTGAGAGAAAACTCTAGAACGTTTGCTGCAGTTGCTTTTTGTCTTACAGGGAAGGAAGGCTCGCTTGCACAAAGCTACATTGTACATATGTATTATAATAACTATGGTGCTAAATATAGAAAGGGATGTCTTTAGCTTCAAAACACATTTGTCAAAGTGCCTTTGAATCCATTGGATAGTCACTGAACGTGTAAATCTGTAGGCCATGCAAAAAAAAAAAAAAAAAAACGACCGCTGGACAGTGGCTTGTTTTTTTTTTTAGAAGAAAATAAACAGTTTTCAAACATTCACCCATTTACTCCACAAATCTTTGTCTCTCACCATATTTTCAGAATACAGTATTTTCAGTACGATTAACGTAAGTATGTCCCAAAATTGGCTCTGAAACCCGAATGATGTTTTCTAAGAAGTGTCTTTCTCGGAGATCTTCTCGAGCGAGCGTACGCCACCAACACATTTGCGTTGTTTCTGTTTTGTGCTCCCAACTCTAGATCAGCAGAGCGGCTACGGCAAATCCCCGAGGCGAGGCGGCCACCAAAACACTTACAAGCCGTATTAACCTTTATACGCCAGCCGAAGTGTGCAGGTACGTGCTCGCGTTGCTCACGCCGACGCATCTTTAGCTCTCTAAATCATCACCATTTGATCTTTTTTGTAATGTACATTGCTTAATTTTTGTTTTTCTCTAAAGTTTCACAGCACCCTGAAGTGCTTTACAGTAGTGGTAACATAGAGACTTTTGGCAGTAATGTAACAGCTGGCTTTTGGCTGGCCATTTTGTAACTGTAAAAAGTAACAGGTACAGTACTGCTAAATGGGAAAATACCAGAAAATATGGAATTACAAGGAAAGAAAACCGAAGAATGTTGTCTTCTCCTAACTCTGACATATACCTTGTTTGTACCTGCCAGCGGGGACTTCCTTGCAGGCCATGAGCTGACTTCCCGATTGTCTCAGGGTACGAGAGGCGTACGCTCTCGAATGCTCCCATTTGGTATGGTCTTCCAACATCCTGTATACCAGTTGTACAAACAAAAAGCAAAAACAACAGCAGCTACAGCAAAAAAACATAAAAAGGACACGTCAAGCTTTTGTTTTCCTCTTAAAACGTCTTGGGATTGGTTTTATCTAATGGTATCTTATAATGTAATGCCATTTTTTACAGGCACCATCAAGTAATGGTAAAATATGACGAGAGCCGGAGTAAAATTAACTTGACTTTTTGAAGGATCCGGCTTTCTCTGGACTTTCCAGGGTTAATTATGCACTGTAATGCTTGCTCTGCTTTATCTGTAGCTCGTGTAGCTGTAATTCCCTGTAGTCCATGAGCTACACGCCGGCTTGTACTCGGAGGCCGCCACTGCGCCGGAGAAGTGCTTTTTTAATATTTGTATTGTGTGATTTTTCTACTGACAGCGGTGGAAAAAGCTTCACCTTGTAAACCGTGTTAATTTCATCTAACAAATTCTCTTTTTTTTTAACCTTTCGAGATCTTGGGAAAGTCGTATTGTTTAAATGAGAACTTATGCTTGTAATGCTTTCCTTTTGTGTTTTAATTTCCATCAATTCAAGGTTTTGCATTAAAATGTTATGAGCTTTAATTTCACAACTATTATTCTATTTCAAAGTCACGGCTTGTCTCCTTATTGACATTAATTGGGATTCCTTAGCATTTTAAGAGTTTGTGTTTTTCATAAGCATAATTAATATTCCCTTCTTTGTTTTTCAGACGGCAGGGCGATTGAAAGTCCCCCCCCCCCCGAGAGGAGAAAACGAGAGGCTTAAATGCGGAGTCGATCAACACGTTACTACACTTTGGGCGCCAGTTGAAATCTGAAATTACTTTCAAGGACACGCGCTAAAGTTTCAAGTGTTATTTCAATTGATATTCATCCTGAATTTTTTTTTTCCGTTCTAATCTAGAGCTTGTGAAAGTTTATAATCATGTTGTGTAGCTCTTATACATTTCTGTGTTGAGTACAATGAACCGTAGAGAGCCCAAATCATTTAGAAACTATTTGTATACAAGTTTATTAATTTATTGCTTACAAGTGTGTAGGCCATTTAACATTCATTTCATATTGCAGTATTTTGCTACAGAGTCATGTAAACCGTTGAGAAATGCAATGAAATAAAGTGTATGAACCTGAAGCCTGTTATTTCTTTAGAGATTAAAGTAATAGTTCACCCAAGAATGAAGATTGTCATCATTTATTTGCCGTTGTCACTTCAAACCCGTGTGTTTTTCTCAAGAGCCGAATCCTTGCTGCTGTTTTCAGCGTCATAAAAGTGAAAGGTGCTGGAGTCCAGCTCTAAAATCACAAAGCAGCGTCATAAAAGTGTCCGTGTGACTCGTGTGTTATTCCAAAAAGGCACACGAGTAATGTAGACCATACTTTTATGGTGCTCGTCTTTGGAGTTTAACAGTAAATTGAAAATATAAATCTCTATTATATTGTTTCCAGGATGAAAGTAATTTAACTTTTGGGTGAACTGTTCCTTTCAATAGTTCATTCTGTCATCTAATGTTTTTTTTACAATACAAGTTCATGTCAATCAGTATTTCCTATATAGAACACATTAGTTTTGTCCCAAATGATGCACTATGTACTTATGCACTGTGTACTGTATGACATTTATAAGGTTATTTTGTCACCTGTCAATCATAGTCTGATAGCCCCTCCCCCTCCACATCATTACAGCCGTGCCAAACATTCCACACTTGATTTTTAACACGTTCTATTTGGAATTGTCAGTGTGAACACACTAATCAGGATATTCAATGGAATAGTGCATAAGTACGCCAATTGGGACGCACCTGATATCTATATAGGTTATACGTCCTCTTGACAAAGACACCGACTGATACATCGTAAGGGTTTGAGTTTAAACTTAAAAACCCTCCAACCTAAACTCAGTCCAGAACATGTACTCGTCTAGGTATAAAATCAGTGTCGTGAGTACATGGTGATTTCACAGTTGTTAAAGCATGCAGAAGTCATATAACAAGCTTAAGTTTACAGCATTTAAGCCATACTGAAGATTTGAAATGTCTTTGGATGAACATGTCAAGCACAGTGGTGAGTCTCAAAGTAAATCTAAAAACATTTTCCAGTTTGTATTTCGTCCTATAACATTATTACAATACCCTAAAAAACAATGCATGTGTATTGAAGCCCGTTTGTCCCAGATTTAAATGGAATATAATGGGAAATGTCATTATCACAAAAATAGCAATTCATATAAACATAAATCCATGTAGTTACATACGGTAGTTACATATCCAGTTTATAGGAACAAGTTGAATTAATGTGTGCCTGAAAAATACAAATTATTGAAATGCATCATTTTTAACAATGAAACGGCTTGTGTTTATGTGGGAATCACACCTGTTGCAAACAAAATGATTAACACGATGATGGCAAGCACTACCACACCGATTATAATCATCATCTTGGTGTTTCTCCACCACATCTTCCTGGCAACACGCGTGGACGTCTTTTGAAATGAGTCGGCCTGGGCAAGACAACATCAGCAACAGCAAAATGTTTTATGACTGTTCTGATCAACTAACATCATAATTAATTCACTTATGTTCTTATTAAAAGATCACCATTATAAGACATGTATGTATTGGGATGATTTCAAGGCTTTACCGTAGCTTGTAGATCGTCTGTTTTCCCGATCAGGTCATCTAACCGCTCTCCTCTCTCCAGAACTTTGTTGATGTTGTCTTTGAGAATCACTTTAACATCGTTGACTTGCTCCTGAACTTGATTGAATTTGCTAGGCGCTGGTGGTTCGGTGTTGTAGTCGGCCTACATTATAAAGAGAAAAACACAAAGTAAACCGCTGGGCCAAACATGACGATACTCTCGAGTGCACAACAGGGTCAGGCATGAACCCGGGCCTGGGCCGGAACTGCCCCGGATGTTGAGAGAGGGCTCCATATGCAGAACCTTTCAGGGGGTCCCATCGTTTAATTCATTGTGTTTTAATTCACTTTTAATTTGTATACAATTGTATGACTTAAACAGCATGTAAACATACTTTATCACTAGAAAAATTGAAATAACCTGTTGAATATGGAAGTATAACACAATTATTGAAGACGTTTCTCCTTATATAGAACCGTTTTGGCATTAAGGGATCATAATATTCTGGTAAACCTAATTTCAGACGTCAATTTAGCAAACGACACAAAACACGGTCATCTCTTTCAGATCGTTCATAGCTTTAAATTTATCATGAACTGTGTAAAAGCATCACTGTTAACGGACTAGTGGAGGAAATTCTACAGACACAGAGACTCAACAATAAGCAAAGCAATATATATATAAAAACGGTAGCCTGGTTAAAGTTGTAACGAGTTATGGTCTGGCAAAGCGTCATAGACAAATCATTTCCAGAGGGGCGTCACCAACGGACGTCGCGGATAGACCTAAACCCAATCAGAGCGATGAAGGAGATGACGTATGCAGAGCGGCGGAGAAACATCTCTGAGTGTTGTTCTTTGCTCGGTTTTTAACAAAAAGGAAACGTTCAAATGGCTTAAAACAGACGCGATAGCTGATTGGAACGAGTGATGTTCGACGGCGGCATCCATCTCTGTAATGTAGGCTACAAAATCTGCTTCAAAATCCCAGCGCTGTCGTCATCGTGTAAAGCCCGCCCCAACGCTTCTGATTGGTGCCTTGATTTCGACGGATTGGAAATGGGCTTGAATGAGCTCTTTGCCAGACTAACTTTCAGAGCAAATCTAAATTTGCCGGAAGTTTTCCCAGGCTATAAAAACGGTCAAAACAATGTCAATGATCTGGAAACATTTGACCATAGAAACAGTGTATGATAAATAATGATGATGATGTCATCCAGTTGGTTCATGGTCCATCATGGCAATTATCTAAACATAACATTGTTTGCCAGTTTCCAGAAAACTGAACATTTAGAGCAAAGCAACAGTGATTCTGAGCAGTTTCACCAATTACAGCATTCAAATCAATAGGAGTTTTTAAAACAAAAAGTGAGTTATGAGTTTTGAAAGATGACCTGGTTCAGATATTAGTGCATTTTTAACCAGAAAAGTAAAGCGGTTGGATTTGTTGGTTTGACAGATTGTTTGAAACCTTTGAAAGAAAGAGACAGACACACATGAATAATTTGATAGATGATCAATCTCTTGAAACAGTCATTTCATCAAGTTCAAGTAGTGTAGTAAAGAGCTTGTTTAAAACAAAATGATTATTTTGATAAACATCAGCCAACGTAGTACTGTGCTGTGGTTAAAAGAAAGTAATAATATTCTGAATTAGACCGAATATCATTATTGTTTCATGTAGGATTTTTTGTTTTTTTGTTTCATGTATGATTTCCTTCGCCATAGACTTCCTGACTCGCAACTGAATTCAGTCCAAAGATCTGGATGAAGTCAGTCGTCACATAATGACAACGTCGTCATATTCTGTCAACTATAAAACACTCAGTATTCATCTTCATGTGTTCATTATCTTTGATGTCATACTTGTTTATATGTTCCTTTGAACACACACACGCATCGTCTCAACAGGTCCGTCAAACCCTTGAACAAATAACCATTTAAATAAACATTTAACTAACAAACAGCCGAGGCTTTCCAGTGCGCTTACCATTCTGGTGCTTCTGTGAAACTTCCTCAAACGTTCAACTGTCACTGCTGAGGGTTTTCAACAGTTCAGGCTAAGCTCGCAATCATAGCTTACAGGGTACGACTTCTGGAGGGAACTTCTCAGTCTCGTGAGCTACAACACAAGTACAAAAGAACAGGATGAAACATTGCTGAACTCATTTGCAAACAGAGCTTCCCCTCCCAGACAGATTGTACATTAACCAGCATGACACTTCCTGCTGCCCCCCCTACGCACGACGGCCACGCCCACACTGCACTGGCCCCTCCCCCTCGCCACACTGGCCCCGCCCACCCTCTGCTGCCGAGCCTCTGGGCTGCAGCTTTCCATCAGGTCTGGTTACTACAGTAGTGCAGAGTTTGCTATGGCTGCTTTTGGGAAGTAAGTATCATTTGTACAAATACATTTGTATGTTTTAAAATATCTTATGGTCCACCTAGCCCATCATCATCATCATCATCATCATCACTGTGTTTCTTAACTTCGGCCACTTTAGACTGACACATTTTTAAAATATGATTCAAAAATGGTCCTAAAAAACAGTCACACTCACAGTCACACAAAGAAAGAAAGAAAAAAAGCACACAGCAATGAAGGGGTTAATTGAAAAATAATTGAGAAATAATTTAAAATATTAATAATAATGTATTATTATAGGTATTTTAAGGAAATAAATGGATAAAATGGATAATTATTATCATAAAATTTCCTTAAAAAATATATTATTGAACAGAAATACCCCCCCCCCCCCCCCCAAAGTTACATCTGAGGTGTTCGGCACCAGAGCAATGTATGTGTTCCCTTACATTCAATCACTAGTTTCTGTCCTCTAGACATGTAAGAAAGCCTGCTTATTATAGGGCTGGACCCACTATAGTAATACACTAATACAATAAGCAAAATAAGAGGCTGCATATTCCTGATTTGTATTTGGTAACAGTAACTGTGAGTACTTTGGGTTTAATGTATCATAAGCAGCTTCAGTTGTTGATAGATTCATAAGCTCTGGGACTTTAACCTCAGCAGATGACTTGGCTTCATTGTTAAATATTATAATTTTGGCCAGCTGTGTTTTCTATCAAGAAGACCGTATGGTTACAGAAAGGAAAGACACTGTAAAATAAGTGGTCAGATATGTTTTTGTGACATTGAATTTGTTATAAAAAAATGCCAATTTGTATTCTGCATTTTTCTGTTGCAGAAACATTTCTGTTGTGTAAAAATTCTAGTTTCACATTATTAGCAGAGCATTTAGTTGCAGCATAGTTACAATTACATGGCATTTCTTAAATGTTTTTTTTTTATTTAGCATCAGATCCATACCAAATAAAGTATTTTATTCTTGCTTTTTACTTGACTTTATTTGCATATGTGACCTATGAGGAATCGAAAAATAGTAATCAGATTACATTACTTTCATTTTGAGGTGCTTGGATTAGATTAGGCTACTGAATACTTTATGAAGTAATTTGTAGCAGTAACAGAATAAGGGCCTATATTTTGAAACTCTCCCAACTCTGGCATTACAATATTGTTTAGTTTGACAATTAGTGGACAAACTTTAGGATTTGTTGGACAAATATTATTATTACTGTAGTAATGTTAGATTATACAAATGATGTATGTTGTCAAACGTCAGGTGCACAAAACATAATCGGATATGAATGAGGGGATTCATCACCTTTTTTTCAGCTGCCACGCAGACGCTTTTTATGCGTGTATGGCAGTGGTTATACATTAATGTTGCTTATCTTTGCAATATTTTTTCCTTAAGCGCGAGTGATGATTTCCTCTCCCTCGACGGCGCGCGCTGAGGCTCATAAACCGAATCCTCCATTAGGACGCAGTCTAAACTTAAGGACCTTATCGGTCTTATTTAGACATTTATTGACTAAAAGCTGAAATTAACTCTTAAATATCTGAATTAAAATGATTGGTATGACATACAAATAGAAATATGCTCCAGAAATGATCAAATAAATCCATATCCTGTTATTATTCTCAAACGACTGTGATTGGTCTAATCTGATCAGCGCTGAGAAAAGAAACAGGCAAAGTGTGACAAACCGCTATCACACTATGAAGAGTTACAAATATGACAGTTATTGATGTACAAACATTTATCATATAACCTGACCATTATATACCAGAGATAATGTCAGGCCTGCTAACACCCATCCCATTTAGTGACTGTTCACTACAAAGGGCACTAACCGCTTGAATGGTCTACGAATGAGTGGACTTCAGTGGAGAATCACTATTTTGCTTCCTCTACCGGTCGCTTTAAGAACTGCATCAAGTCAGCACTAAGTTCCCACTTAAAACTAATCAGATCGGTTATCATTTGGCATAAGGACGCTTTTATTATAGAACGTTTTATGGTCGTCTATATTTCTGCCAGAGGTCGCTTGTGATTGGCTGAAGTAAAAGCGAACTCTAAAGCCACGCCCATTAAAGTTCTTCATACTTCAGACAAAACTCAAGTACAGTCGACTGGCCGTGGAATCAAATCAAAGCTGGAGTTTTGTTCAGTCTACATTCACCATGAATCCCTTTGGTAGTAAGAAATCAGGAAAAACTTTCCTTTTCACATCTGAGTCTGTTGGAGAAGGGCATTCGGGTAAATATGAAACATCTTCATTTATGTATGCTGACATGCGCAGATATTACCGTCAGTGAACATTACATTTATTATACTGTTGCATTACATTATAATGTTGTTGTATTAATGCAATATATTGGTTTTAATGCGCAGAATCGAAATACGCAAGTTAACGCAACATGTCTGCACATGTCCCGTTACTAGTCATAATAAACAGTCGTAATTTTGAGAAAATGTTAATGATCAATAAATAATTGGCATATAATGAAGCTGACCTCCTGTGTTTGTTACTGACAGATAAAATGTGTGATCAGATTAGTGATGCTGTTCTGGACGCTTACCTGACACAGGACCCGGACTCTAAAGTGGCCTGTGGTAATGATCATTCATCACTTTTCACATCATCATCACTAACCAAAAATGTGGACTAACAAATGCTTGGTTTGAGACACTTTAATGGTGTAATAGACATTCCCATTCCCTTTTATGGCATCTCTACATAAAGTCTTGTCCAATTTCTGTATCAGAATGTGTGTCCAAGACGGGCATGATCCTCCTGTGTGGTGAAGTGACTTCCAAGGCTGTGGTGGATCTTCAGAAAGTGGTTAGAGACACTGTCAAGAGTATCGGATATGACGACTCATCAAAGGGTATCTGCACACACAAACACACACCTATATACACATATAAAGAGTAATATTGTGAAGTATTATTACAATTACAAAAGTCAGCAGCCATTTCTCCAATCTTTAAAGTCAGCATGAAGTGGAAGGTGCTGTTTTTTTTCCTCTTGTTGTGACAAAACGGCTTCTGGAAGAAGAACAAATGTGGGCGGGGCTTGATTTTGTCTGTGGGGAATTGATTGGATGGTTGTGGTTTGCTATTGGTGGATCTCATGTGAGTGACAGGTTATTGCCCTGCCCTCATCATCAGAGAAGAGAAGAAATGCAAGAGGGAGGGGAAGTTATTCTGATTCAAGATTATGAGGAATATGAATATTTTTTTATTTATTTTTAAATAAATAGTGCAGTATTCCATAAATGTTCATTTTGATTTCAAGGTGACTTTAATATCACATGATCCTTCATAAATCATTCTAATATACTGCTTCAGAGACATTTCTGATTATTATCGATGTTGACAACAGTTGTGCTGCTTAATATTTTTGAATCGCCATATTTATTTAAAGTCCCCATGAAATCAAAATCGAAGTTTTTTGGCTTTTACTATGAATATGCTAGTCTTGCTGTTATCTATAAGCTAGTGTGCTCCAAAACAAAGACACAATTCACATTTAGAAGATATAAGCATTCAAAACGTACAGTCTCACATCCGCAAATATGGATCAATGATTTTGATGACATCACTCTGCACTTCAGCTTCTCATCAGATTTTCTGTCCAATCAAATGCTCTCTAGCATCTGAAGCTCCGCCCCCTACATTATAAAAAGACGCTGAAGCTGCAGCTGAAATCGGTCACTTGTTGTTCACACATTTACTATTTTCTCCATGGTGAATGGCAGATAGTGCACTACATGGGTGGTTCTTCAACTACAGGCACTTTTGGCCTTGCGAACTTGAGGGGGAAAAAAGTGTTCAAATCAAAATTGTTACAGTCTAACAGTTAAATATAACTAGTCTAGTTTAATGATCCATAAGCGAACGCACTTACATTATAAGACAAATTGGTGTTTTTTGACATATTTTCCGATCCGCACTGAACAAATGTAATTTCCATCACATGTAAATATTTGATTATTATTTTAAAATATTATGATATAGATGATTTCTTAACAGTGTAAGACCACTTTCACACATAGTATTACCAGTTTATACCTATATTGCAATTACCATAGATTTGTGGATTAAGTAAATTAATTGTCATGAAGCCCAAACACAAAGCTTACATCCACCACAACTTGAAATATAATATTGGATTGGTTAGATACATTTAAAAAAAATAACTACTACTGTTATTACATTAAGTGGACCATTATCCCATAAACTATGCTGAAGTTTTTAATGAGTGATTAGAATTTTGTATATATTTTTTAAAAAGTTATGAGGGGGTGGAAATGACTGGTTGTTGTGGAAATGACAATGAATGGACGTCCATGTAGAAAAACAGAAGACTTTTATTTGAAACTTTCTGAAACAGACCATTCCATTTAACAAATCATTAATCTCATTAGTCATTAGTTTGTTTGGTTCTGTTTTGGTATAGGACTGAGACCTTTCTGCAGTTGACTTCCGCGGCATCTTAAAAATAGATGAAAAGGCATTTCAACAAATATATATTTGAATAAATACATTAGCATTGTACATTTCAATAAATAAAATATACATATGTAGCCCCACAATCTATGAATTGCACCTTGTAAGCATAAATGTCATTTCCACCTCACCTTTGTCATTTCCACCCAAGAAGGAATGTGTTGGAAATGACGGTGGTGGAAATGACAATCCTGCAGTATTTTGGAAAAAAATCCAAGCTAGTATTACAGATTAGCTATGAATTGGTAGCTAGCATTGCAAGCACGCAAAATACATC